GAGAGAGGATGAGAGACAGAGAATGACAGAGACTGAGAGAGAGACTGGCCAGAGCTGAGGTCAGGAGAGGCACGCACAGATGAAGCCCCATGGAGCCAGTGGCGACAGTGCTTTACTCCCAGGGGCCTTTCTGGGCCAGGCCTTTGCTGAGCGATTCCTCGGACTGGAATCCTCAGTTTGACCCCTGGGAGGGTCATACAACCAGCCCCACTCTCTGGAGGAGGCTTAGGCTCAGAGACATGCAGCCACTGCCCCAGATCACCCAGCAGAGGGACGGAGCCCTTTCCACTAATAACGTAGCTGGAGAAGGAGAAACGGAGCAAGATGGAGAGAGAGGCAGGGACCCAGACAGCTGGCCCCTGGGCTCACTTCTGGGGGAGTCTCTGTTCTCCTGCATCTCAGTTTCCTCATCTGATCAAGTAGGCACATGGGAGTCCCCTGGTTCCCTGGGAGGAGCAAATGGTTAAATGCTCTACTAGTAGCTGAAAGGCTGGTGGTTCGAACCCACCCAGAGGCGCTTTGGAAGACAGGCCTGGTGATCTGCTTCTGAAAGGTCACAGCCTTGAAAGCCCAGTGGGACAGTTCTGCTCTGTACACACGGGGTCACCAAGAGTCGGAATCGACTGGACAACAACAACTGGGGCTCCCCGCCACCCCCCGACCCCCGCTGAGAGGGGGACACGGCCTCCCCCTCCCGCGGCAGGGCGGGGGCGGGGCCACAGAGGCCTAATGAGGGGGTGGGGAAAAGGGGAGGGACTTGCACCCAGGCACAAGTCCAAGGGGCCGCTAGACGAGGCGCGGAATGACATTCCGAGGCGCCACAAATATGAAAGGCGCCTGACTGAGGCAGCCAGACAAGAAGGGGGAAGGCGTTTCTGCTGACGCATGGCCACTATCAACGTCTATTCGTCTTGAAATCAGCAGAGAGTGGGGGCGCAATTTAGAGATTGTCCCTGGGCCCTCGTTACCCTCCACACAGTCCTGTGGGGCCAAGACCCACCTGCCAGGAAGCCAGGCAGCGGCTACAGAGCAGGTGCCCACATGGCTCGATCTTCACGTCCTTGTCGCTCGCGGCACATATTTTGCAGAGCTCGAAGGTGGAGTCCATGGCCCAGTAGAGCTGTAGCTGTTCCTGGTGGGCAAGAAGATGAGGAGGAAGAAGGTGGGTGTCAGGCACAGGGATGCAACTGGGGCCAAGGAAGAAAGCCCCAGCCCTCTGCTCCAGCCCAGACCCTCTCCCAAGTTCAAGGCCTCGTATCCAACTGCCTCCTACATTTCTTCATGTCTTGTTATGAAACGTTTTCTCTAGGAAATCTGTTTGCCAGATTTAGCAAATAAAAATACAGAATGCTCAGTTAAATTTGAATTTCAGATCAACAATGAACAATTTTTTTAGTATGAAAAAACCAAACCAAGTTGGTTGCCATCAAGTCAATTCCAGGGCTCCTTTTTTTCCCTTTTAAGTACGGGCCCTGCTGGCACAGTGGGTAAGCACTTGGCTGCTAACTAAAAGGTCGGCAGTTTGAATCCATCAGCCGCTCCTTGAAAACCCTATGGGGCAGTTCTACTCTGTCTCATAGGGTCACTATGAGTAGGAATCAACTAAATGGCAATAGGTTTTTTTTTGTTTTAATGTCCCAGATAAGGTTCCTGGGTGGTGCAAGCAGGTTGTGATCACCTGCTAACCTAAAGGCTGGTGGTTCAAACCCACCCAACAGCACTGGAAGAAACGCCTGGCAATCTACTTCTGTAAAGATTATAGTCAAGAAAACCCTAAGGAGCAGTTCTACTCTGGAACACATGGGGTCGCTATGAGTTGGAATTGACTCTCTGGCAACAGGTTTGGTTGTTTTTGGCTTACATCCCAACTACTGTATCGTACATATTGTTAGCTGCCGTCAAGTCGATTCTGACTCGTGGCAACCCCATGTGTGCAGAGGAGAACTGCTTTATAGGGTTTTCAAGGCTGTGAACTTTTGGAAGCAGATTGCCAAGGCCTTTTGGTCAGTGTTGAGCGCTTAACTCTTGGCTCCACCCAGGGACTCATTTATACTAAAAATGTACTGGTTGTTTCTGTCTCGCCCATGGGGTGTCTGGGAGGGTTAACTGCTGGCACGGGGCTGTCACTGGCGAATGTTCAAGTGCATTAGCTCTTCTGATGATCTCAACAGCTCAGTTTCCTTGTCTCATCCCCACGAGTGACCCCTGGGAAGGAGGCAGGAGGAGCTGTATTTTTGAGAAGATGAGCTGAGGTGAAGTGATTTGCCCAAGGTCACACAGCTCCATAGCCATACTCCAAGGCAAGGTCTCAGTGATTCCAGTGCCTGAGGCCATGGGGAGAATTCCTGGGGCAAATGGGGTAGTGGGGCCATGAGCAGGGCCATGGGCACAGGCCCGTCTCACCTCGGACACATGGATGTGCTGGTGGGGTTGTGTGCGGCAGAGTTCAGTCAGGTCCGGGTTGTGGTTCCTCCCATCTGGGTAGAGGTAGCTGGATGAAGGGAGGAGAGGGGTGCTGAGGGGCCATCCAGCACCCCTCACCCCCAGACAGACAAGCCCCTCCCCCCACCACCGGGATCCCACAGCTTCCTGGGATGACGATCTGCCCCAAACCCATCCCTGGCCTGGGAATATCTTCCCTCCTCAAATTGGGACTCTCTGTGTCCCCTCACATCTCCCTCAGGACATGGGAGTGTCCCCTCAGACCCCTAAAGAAGGACACAATAAACCTAAGTGACGCAAGCTCTGGAAACAGAGATCAGATTGAACCGGAACAGGAAACTGATCAAAATCTCAGGTCACAGCTCCCAGAACCCAGCCGCCCTTCACAGGTTTTTCGGGTCTGGGCATAGAAGCTCTTCGGGTCACAGAGTGTGGGAGTGACCAACTCTTAGAGTCTTAGACCTCCAGGGCTGGAACTGGAAGGACCCTCTTGAGGCCAGCCACACCGCTTCTGGCTTTACAGACGGTGACCCAAGGCTCCGTGTGGGAAAGGCGCTGGCCCAGGGTCACACAGTGAGGCCAGGAGAGATGCACAACAGCAGCTGTGGGCAAGATCTGAGGGCTGGGTTCCAAGGTGGCTGAGAAGGTTCTAGACCCTCGGGGTCTCCCATCTGGATTGGAACAGTGTCCTCAGACCAACAGGGGGGCGACGAGTCCCCAGAGGCCTGGGCTTCAAAGTGACTCTCCCACAAACACATCTTGTGACCTGGGCCTCAATTTCCCCTTCTGTAAAATGGACACAGTCATGCTTAGGGCAAAGGTTAAGGAGTTTTGGTGGCTTAGCTCAGCTGCTAACTGAACGGTTGGGGGTTCCAACCCACCCAGCAGCTCCATGGGAGAAAGAGCTGGCAGTCTGCTTCCGTAAAGATTAGTCAAGAAAACCCTATAAGGGCAGTTTTATTCTGTCCCATGGGGTTGCTATGAGTTGAAATCAACCTGATGGCACCCAACAATAACAGAGCAAAGGTTGGTGGTGGGGATTAAATAAGAGTGCTGGTAACATGCTGAATCCACCAGCCACTCAGCAGGAGAAAGATGTGGCAGTCTGCTTCCGTAAAGATTCCAGCCTTGGAAACCCTACGGGGCAGTTCTACTCTGTTCTATGGGGTCGCTATGAGTTGGAATTGACTTCACAGTAACAGGTTTGGTTTTGGGTTGTGGTAACATGTCCAGCATAGTTCCTACTTAATAAAAGGAAACTGCTATGATCAACTTTAGACCCAGAAAGCTACCTTGAGCCCTTATGGTGCAGTGGTTAAGTGCTCTGCTGCTAACCGAAAGGTCAGCGGTTCGAACCCACCAATCGCTCCATGCAAGAAAGATGTGGCGGTCCGCTCCCATAAAAATTACAGTCTTGGAAACCCTATGGGGCAGTTCTACTCTGCCGTATAGGGTTGCTGTGAGTTGGAATCGACTCAATGGCAGTGGGTTTGGGTTTTTTTTTTGCTTACGCAGTAGAAAGTTCTGTGTCCTTTCCCTTCTCTCTGAACTTTGATTTTCCCATCTGTAAAATGGTAGTGTGTGTTTATATGGGGAGGGGGGAACTGGACCAGATTCACCCTGATTTGAACTCTGGATCCTCTCCTCCAATGAAATTTGACTTGGAACTCAGGACAGTGTAGTGGCAAAGGGCCCGGACTCTGAGCTCGTTACTTCAGTAGCTGTGTGACCTGGGACAAGTGACTCTGCTTCTCTGTGCATCAGTTTCCTCAGCTGTCAAATGGGAATATAATAATAGTAGGTGTGTGTAGGAGTCTCTAGGTGGTGCAAATTACTAGCTGAAAGGCTGGTGGTTCGAATCTACCCAGAGGAGCTTCAGAAGACAGGCTTGGCGACTGCTTTCAAAAGATCACAGCCTTGAAAACCCTATGGAGCACAGTTCTACTCTGCACACATGGGGTCTCCACGAGTTGGAATCAACTAGATGGCAAGTAACAACGACAATGTGTGTGTATATGTATAGATACAGGTAGCATATCAGTTATATCAGGCTCTGGTTAAAGGTCCAGGGTGAGGCTCCTGAATCTTACCTGTCTTTTTTTCCCTCCCCTCCTACCCATGGCAGCTTCTGAAAGAGGGGCCCTGGGGCAGCCAAGATTATAGGTCAAAAAGCACTATGAGTCAGAATTGACTCAGTGGCGGTGGGTTTGGGTTTGGGTTTTAGCTGGTTCCCCAGGGGGTACTGGTGGGTCAGCGGTAGAGTTCTCGCCTTTCATGCAGGAGACCCGAGGTCGATTCTTGGCCAATGCACCTCATGTGCAGCCACTGTCCGTCTGTCAGTGGAGGCTTGCGTGTTGCTACGATGCTGAACAGGTTTCAGCAGAACTTCCAGACTAAAATGGACTAGGAAGAAAGGCCTGGCAATCTATTTCTGAAAATCAGCCAGTGAAAACGCTATGGATCCTCCTTTGCCATGAGACCAGAACTGGATGGTTCCTGGCTACCATTACTAAACATTTTGATCAAAGATTCTATAGAAGAATCCTGATCGCAGTGGGGGAAATGCAGAACAGAATTTCAAATTTTTGTGGACTCCAGACTTTCTGGAGCCATTGAGGCTGGATGAATCCCCCAAATTCTTGCCCTGAGACATCTTTATACCTTAAACGAAAAATATCCCCGGAAGTCTTTAAACCAAACAATAAAAAAAAAAACAACCCATTGTCATTGAGTCGATTCCAACTCACAGCAACCCTATAGGACAGGGTAGAACTGCCCCATAGAGTTTCCAAGGAGCGCCTGGTTAATTCGAACTGCCAGCCTTTTGGTTAGCAGCCATAGCACTTAACCACTACACCACCAGGCATTCCAAACCCAACAACAGTTTAGTTTAACTAGTAAAGAACGTCTGCCTTGAGCCTTATGCTCTTTTAAGATCTATCTATATAGGATTAAACTGACAACAGCAACTTGAAAGGTCAGATAGGAAGCTTAGGGGGCAATGAGTTTATGCTAATGGGGGAGGAACAACTCCGAAAAGAAGGGTGAGAATAGTTGTACAACTTGAAGAATGTGATCAATGTCACTGAATTGTATATGTAGAAATTGTTGAATTAGTGTACGTTCTGCTGTGTATATTTTCAACAACAACAACAAAAATCAAATAAATTTAAAAAAAAAAAATCTATGGATCACGTGGTCTGATCCATAACCAATCATGGGGATGGTACAGGACTGGCCAGTGTTTCGTTCCAACTTGATGGCAGGTAATAAAAGCTGATTCTCCAGTTCTCTTCTTGCCCTAACAGTCTAGATTCTAGAACAGAATGTGAAAATCTAGAACCAAAAAGCTCCTGAGCCCAATACCAAGGAATGAAGCCCCTGGGATTGTACTCAACGCCCCACACAACTCGCAAGAGTTGCTGCTAGCCGATCGCTGAGCTTTGTGTGAACTAGAAGGTGCCACTTCCTCAAGGCCCTTGACTGCCACCTGCTGGGATATTGTGGTATTACAAATTTATGAAGTCGCTAGGTGAATGTGTGCCCTCCGAAGTGGTGATCTTGGACAGTGGGCAACATGCACAACCTTTTGCAGTGGGTTCTGCTGACACCTTCCCCTTGCCAGGATGGGGACTCACAAGCCTTTTCTTTGTCCTTCCAGGAGCACCTGGAACAGGGGTCTGTTGAGAGGGATGGTCTGTAGGATGCTGCCTTCCGCGCTCACGTACCCGATGGCCCACTTCCCTAAACGAGTGCAGCTGGGGCGAAAGATGTAGCTGAAAGGAGAGGTAGGTGGGGTAGGGTCAGCGAGTGGTCATCACTGTCCCTTCATGGACCTCCCATCCCTCCACCCTGTTGGGGATCCAACTATTTAAGTCCTTATCCCTTTCCAGACCCAATTCCCCATCCTTTAGGGATATGGTGCTAGATCCTCTTCCACCACTATAGGGGATACCTGTTGTTTTTACTGTCTTCCAATAACAATACCCCAGTGTTCATCTGGGGATCTCCCTCTCCCTCACTGGGGTTTAGACAAGGCTGATTCTGGCTTGGCCAATCAGTACATTTCAGAACCCTTGACTACAGTGATGGAGTCTGCCCTGATACTTTTACTGGGAGTATTAGGAATAAGGTACCCATTTCTACAGAGGTTGCTAAAGTAGTAGAGTGTACAGCTGGGGCTTCTAGAAGCCATTTTGCCACCATGAGGAGAATCCATCTGGGAATGAAGCCAACACGGGGGAAAGCAGATATGGTGAATAGGCCCAATTCCTGACTATCACCTGAGCACCTGGATCCAGCTGTGCCTGAAACCCATGCCCTGGTCTTTCTGATTATGGGAATTAATTCGTTCCTTTTATCTTCCCCCCTCCTTAAATCAGTTTGAAGTGTAACTGGAAGAGTGCTAATACACTCACCTTCCTGGGGACCCCTCCGCCCAGCAGGAACTCATGAATCTGACCGCCTATTCCCTTATCCTTGTGGTGTTCCAGGCAGCTCAGTGTCTCAATTCTTAACCCTCTGGGGAACCCCACAGCTTAAAACTGGCGGTCTGAGACACTCAGGTGTCTGGTTTCCCAGTCTCCTACCCCAGCAGGTGGGTGTCACATTAAAAATATTTAACAGATGGTGCAGCTTGGGCTACACTTATCACTATTAACAAATCTTAACCTGGGGCAGAGTCTTCGGGGCCTCTGCTAGGCCAGGCAGTCCCTTTAGTTGCTGGATTGTGGAAAGTTCAGGAGGTCCAGGGAGAAGAGTGGGGGGTGGGGGTGGGGGTAGGTAGGGCCATTTTGCCTCCGAATCGTCAGCTCTCTGGGAGGGGAGGTCTCAGAGACCTCAGCCCTTCACTTCTCACTCCCTGAAGAATGTCTGGGCTCCCACCACCCCCCAGCCCAGGACCTTGACACCTGAGCTCCCCCGGCAGCCCTACCCCCCTGAGGTCTGGACCTTTACCTGCCAGGCTTGTCCCTGCAGGCCTGTAGGCGCGCTCGGACCTCGTCATATGTGAGGAAAGCCATGTAGCCCGGGTGGTTGACCGCCAGAAGCTCCCAGTTCTTGAGGAGTGTGGACCATGGCTGGGGTGGGGCAGGGCATGGTCAGGCAGGGGCCTAGGAAGCGGCCCATACCTCTAAGTGCCTCCAACCAAAACAACCAAACCCATTGCCGTCAAGTTCATTCTGACTCATAGTGACCCTGTAGAACACAGTAAATCTGCCCCACAGGGTTTCCAAGGGGCGGCTGGTGGATTTGAACAGCTGAACTCTTAACCACTGTGCCACCAGGGCTCCCTAGTGCCTCCAGGGTCCAAGGTTTCAGTCAGCTCACTCACATCCGAAGAGGGACTCAGCGATGTCTCTACACAGAAGACTCCAGTCCCTTCCTCCCCTAGAACCCAGGAGTCCAGGTCCCAGCCCCCTCCTCCCACAGATCCAGGAGTCCAGGTCCCAGCCCCCTCCTCCCACAGACCCAGGAGTCCAGGCCCCCAGCCCCCTCCTCCCTCAGACCCAGGAGTCCAG